ATATTTGCTACTGTTAATCCCATCTCCCTCCCCCCACCATAGTTTCCCAGTACTGTCAGTCATTTTTGTATAGTATTGCATTGGATGTTTAAGGTCCATTATATGAGTGAGAACATGTGATACTCGGATCTTTGTTTCTGTGAGAGGTCACTCGGTATTATAGACTCTAGTTCCATCCAGGTTGCTGCGAAATTCATGATTTTGTTCTTTTTTATGGCTGCGTAGTATTCCATCGTGTATATGTACCACATTTTTTTAATCCAGTCCTCTTTTGATGTGCAGCATGGTTGCTTACAGGTTCTTGCTATTGTGAACAATACTGCAATAAACATATGTGTGCAGGTATCTTTTTTATAGAGTGATTTGAGTTCTTTAGGATATATTCCCAGTAGGGGGATTGCAGGGTCATGTGGGAGGTTGATATTTAGAGCTTCTAGGAATCGCCACACTGCTTTCCACAGAGGTTGCACTAGTTTACACTCCCACCAACAGTGTAGAAGTGTTCCCTTTTGGCCACACCCTCTCCAGCAGCTGTTATTTTTTGAGCTGTTGATAATTGCCATTCTGACTGGAGTTAGGTGGTATCTCAGTGTGGTTTTGATTTGCATCTCCCTGATGATTAGTGAGGTTGAACATTTCTTCATGTGTTTATTGGCTGTTTGGATGTGTTCCTTTGTGAAGTGTCTGTTCATTGTGAAGTGTTTGCCCATTTTATAATGGGGTTGTTTGTTTTTTTCTTTTCAGCACATTTGAGTTCCTTGTAGATCCAAGATGTTAAGCCTTTGTCAGACCTGGTGTTGGCAAATACTTTTTCCCAGTCTGTAGGCGGTCTCCCTGCTCTCTTGATGGTTTCTTTGGCTTTGCAGAAGCTTGTCAGTTTAATAAGGTCCCACTTGTCTATCTTCTCTCTTATGACCTGTGGGTTTCAGGTTTTGTTCAGGAATTGGATGCCAGTTCCGATTTTCATGAGGTTATGTCCTTCATTTTCTAAGGTTCTTATGGTTTGAGGTTTTACATTTAGGTCTCTGATCCATTTGGAGTTAACCCTTGTGCATGGGAATAGATAGAGGTCCTGTTTCAATCTTCTGCATGTGGTCAGTCGGTTTTCCCAGCACCATTTACTGAATAGGTTCTCCCCTCCCCAGTGGTAAGTGGTGGAGGCTTTGTCGAAGATGAGTTGGTTGAGAAATTGAGGCTCTGCTTCTGGAATCTCAATTCTATTCCATTGATCTATATGCCTGTTCCTATACCAATACCAAGTTGTTTTGATGATTATAGCTTTATAGTAAAGTTTGAAGTCTGGTAATGTGATACTACCCGCTTTGTTTTTTTTTTTTTTGCTGAGGATTGTTCTGGCTATTCTTGGACACTTGTGTTTCCAAATGAATTCCTGTGTTGTTTTTTCTAGGTCTGAGAAGAATGTTGCTGGTAATTTGATGGGTATTGAATTGAATTTGTAGATTACCTTAGGTAAGATGGACACCTTCACAATGTTGATTCTTCCAATCCATGAGCATGGGATATTTTTCCACTTGTTTGTGTCATCTTTGATTTCTTTGAGCAGTGTTTTGTAGTTTTCATTGTAAAGGTCTTTCACGTCTCTGGTTAGGAAGATGCCAAGGTATTTCATTTTTTTGTGACTATTGTGAATGGAATTGTGTTTTTTATTTGGGTTTCTGTTTGTTTATTATTGGTGTAAAGAAATGCGATTGTCTTTTACACATTTATTTTGTATCCTGAGACTTTGCCAAAGGCCTTTATCAGTGTAGGTTTTTGACAGATTCTCTTGGGTTTTCAAGGTACACAATCATATCATCTGCAAAGAGAGATAACTTGACTTCCTCTTTTCCTATTTGGATACCCCTGATTGCCTCCTCTTCTCTGATTGCTCGAGCCAGGACTTCCAATACTATTTTGAACAGGAGGGATGAGAGTGGGCATCCATGTCTTGTTCCAGTTTTCAGGGGAAATGGTTCCAATTTTTGTCCATTTAGGAGTATGCTGGCTGTGGGTTTCTTGTAGATGGTTTTTACTATTTTGAGGTATGTTCCCCATATGCCTAGATGTTTGAGGGTTTTTATCAAGAAGGGGGTGCTGGATTTTATCAAAAGCTTTTTCTGCATCTAATGATATAATCATGTGGTTTTTGTTTTGACATCTGTTGATGTATTTAATTACATTTATGGTTTTACGAATGTTGAACCAGCCTTGCATCCCAGGAATGAAGCCTACTTGGTCATGATGGAAGATTTTTGACATGTAGTGTTGAATCTGGTTCGCTAGGATCTTGTTGAGAATTTTAGCATCTATGTTCATCAAAGATATGGGCCTGTAGTTCTCTTTCTTTGTTGGATCTTTACCTGGCTTGGGTATCAATGTGATGTTGTCTCCGTAAAATGATTTGGG